GCAAGTAAGTGTTGCAACCACCTCCTCCACTTTTCTGCCATCCTCTCTTCCAGATAGAGGGTGGCTTCATTTTTCCAATGATTGATTATTTTTCTGAATGCTATGTAATAAAGGTACACATAGGAATACTTGTAGGAGACTGGTATATTTCCTGGTCCATCACATGACATCAGCCAAAGTTACAAAAGATTATACCCCTGTTATGGCAGGGATCAGAGTATGCTTTGACTGCAGTGGCTACATACATTCCTTCAACATTGAGGATCCATATTGCATATATAGAATGGGGCCAGATTCATCCCTGCTGGTAGAGAGGTCCCCTCCAGCCCAGGGGTTATATTTAGGAATCCCCAGAGCAGGATACTCTGCAGAAATCCTGTTGGTGAAGGCTGCTCAGGAGGTGTAATGACTTCATGAATCCTATGGCCTGCCCTACTCACTTTTTGCCACCAAGGTCCTGTGTCCTCGTTTGTGCTGACAAAGTAAAGCATTCTCAGTGCATTGGTGTCACACCAAACTCAGGACCTTGCATTGTCCATTGCATTAAAAGGTAGGCTATATTCACCCAGTAAAACCATCCCAGAACAGTGTATCAATGGATTAGCAAGTGAAACTGAAAAAAAACTATTTTAAAAAATGAAAGTATGGAATTCTGACTAACTTTGGTAACAGAAATACTACAAGCTCTGATCTGACAACATATTATAGAAAAGTTAGACATGAAATTAGTTCTCATCCTGTATATTTCCCTCCTACTTTTTTCTTTTTTGTCCATTGTTTAAACTCCTCATGGAAGTGCCCAAAGATGGGATAGCTGCTGGTAATATCACCACAGAATACTAATGCAGGTTTTCCTTTCCACACCCTTTTACTGTAAACTATTTCCCAGAGGATAAGGGGGGGGGGTGAAAAGATCAACAAATACTGACAGTTTACTTTGGAACATTAAAAAAAAGTGGGCAAAACTAAAAACACTCCCTTTGTCAGCAATTATCACAGTCCCGAGCATTCACTGGTACACAACAGATGTGCCTTCTGTGGCTGATAATGTTGGGTATGGTAAATTGGTGACGAAACAAAGGACATAGGTTTACAATTATGCACTCCCCAGACCCCAGTATTTTAAAGCAAATCAAACTATGGTATATTAGTTCCTAGTCTAATGTGAAAAATATGATCCACTAACTAAATCTTCAAACAAACAGAACCTGACTTTCCTGAAATATGGCAACTTGGCATTTTTATGTTTAATTTTTTTGTAATGGAGAATGATGGGCTTTTAAGGGTAAGCTGCTTCCTTTGAGCAGCAGACATGCAGTGTGATGCCCAGGCTCAAAGAGAATAGCTCCACACCCCCTCACCAACTGCTGTAGGTAGCCACATATCACCCAGGTCCTTCCTTGCATTTATGAAGACAACTGAATTACTGGTGGGATAGTGAGGTAACCTGGAAGCATTAAGGTGCCAATGTATGTACCTTTTAATGCAGAACAAATAACCCAAGCATCTGACATCACAATACTACAGTGTAACAAACCACCATATTGCAGTTTTGCTTTGCTTCAGGTAGAGGATAGACTGTATGCAGAGTTATGTTTTTGATTTGTCTCTTGCCGAACTTGCTTAGTAGTGGATTGGAAGCAGCAGCAGGAAGAAAGAGATAAAGGAGAATAAGCTATAAGAGGGCTTGTGGGTTGAAGATATGTGGGGTGAAACTTGCCCCACCTAGATGATGCATAAAATCACAAAAGGAGTTAGCTGTTCAGTCTAAACTTACATTAAAAACAACTAAAAGGGCACCATCAGGTATGGCACAACACAAAAAATGTTGTTTTGTTCTTCTAAAAAGAACCCATAACGTTTGGATTCATTTACTATTATTCAAAAGTATCATGTTCAAATGAAGTCAGGTCTTTTTATCCCAACTGCTTGCACCCAGTCCTAACTGAGACCAGAAAACTTCCTAAGCTATTTCCAGCTGGCATCAAGATACATCACACAGAACAGCAAGCTCAACACATGGCATGGATCCTTTCAATCGTTGATCCATTGCATCAGCTTACTCAGCTCTTTCCAACCGAACTGTTTATTCCCTCAGTGATCACTGTCTGTAAACGGGATGTTAATGAAATACACTGAAAGGGAACTGAGGCTATCTAAAATGTAAACTACATTTAGGGGGAAAAAACCTTATGAGTAGACTGACAATAAAACATCCATTTCAAGACAATTTGTACTATTCTGATGGAAGATTCATGTGAGAATTAGTACAAGGTTGTTAGGCTTTATTATTTTTCTTGCCACTCTGAACATTTGCACGAGGTTGCAAAACCAGCTTCTTGAACAAGATAAGTTATTAATATGAGAAATGTATCACAGATCACCTCAAAAGATGGATACATTACAAATAAGGCTTAAAGAATCTATATTATTTTCAGGTTGCTGAGCTATGGCTCCTTTTTTGTGTGTGTGTCTCCCCATCTCTCTCCTTGGTGTACTACCGTTATGAATGACTGAGCAATAACTGAATGCAGTAACTGAATGAGTGAGGAAGTATCTCAAAATAACCAAAATAATCCATAATGTACACCTATATTTAAGCAGAGTTGCAAAGTTGTTCAGCTGCAGATCTGAATTTAAACTTTTCCAGATCTGGATTTTGGTCCATCCATTAGATAGATCACTGCTAATCATTAAATTTGGATCTGGATGCAAACTCTCCCATAATTCCCCAAAATGTGCTCTATTGTACCCTAAAATTATTGCTATCGTCTGTTCAGAATTATACTCTCTAGATACTTTACCAATCCTGGCATCAGTCCACCCTCAATGACTTCCATGACAGTTCAACACATGGAACAAAAGCGAGATCAGGCCATATCTATGTTTTTTGAACTCCAACTTTTCATTGCTGGGAAAATTCAAACAAAAACAGAAAAGCCTAGTAACATTATTTTTTTTGTAGCAGACACACAATACTATTCCAACTTTCCTAAAAAGACTAAACAATAGCAGTTACTATACGGCCTATAAAGCTACAGTATATAAGAGCAATAAATGTAACACCTATACTTGCGATGCTTAAAGTAGCTTGATTGTTTTCATCTTCAGTAACCCCAACTTGCACAAGAATTGGTCTGGTCAGCACCAGATATCAACTAAAATTCTGTGGTTGGGATGAAGTAGCACACAATTTAAGAAGCCCACCATTTGTGTTGTGATTTAAGACTGTCCTAAGTACATAGCACTCCATTTCTTTGAACATGTAGAGTTGGGTTTTGTCCCCATTAATGCAGTCTGCATCTTCCTATGACAACCTGGCCACTGTGCCCCTAAGAAAATAGACAGTATTTGCACTGTCACCCTTCCGTGGGGGTTTCACAGGGGCAGGGAGCTTTATACTGATTTTGGGAATCCACAGGAGATACATTGGCCAAAGGCAGCTGAAGGAATGCTCCAAGTTTCCAGGTCACCCTGGCCATGTCCATTCCTGGCAGGCTGCCCACTTTTGGGGTTGTGCAGGCCAGCTGCAAGTCCTTGAGACAGGTTTTAGGCCTCTTGCACCCTTGACAATTGCTCTGTGGCTAGAGCCTCCACAACTGGAGACATTGCCTTAAGGCACAGGCGAATCTAGCCTGTAGCATTATTTTGCTGTCTCACAATTCATAATTTGGCATACCAGTGCAAAATGAAGTACATGAAATTCATGTATTTCTTGACATTAACTCAATGCAGGTGGTATGCAAACTCAACTACAGGGCTCATACAGCTAGCACTAAATGAGTCAGTTTGTCTTCTGATAGCAGTTGGAAACCAGTAGCAGGAGCAGAACAGTACAGGAGTAAGACAACAAGAGATTTGGGGGTTGAAAGGAGGCAACAGTGGGATAAGGAATCTATGGGGCTTCCTGCCCCTGAAAGAAAAAGGAAGATGACAAGATGTAGAAAAGAGACATTTACAGAAAAAAAGAAAGAAAAAAGAGAGAAGAGGTGGGAGGGGAGCAGAGGGAAGAGACACAGACCAGGTAGAACAAGCACTGCTTTAGTGGTGGTGCCTTAGAGAAGCATTAAGCTACCAAAAGAGATAACAGAAAAAATTCAAAGATAATTGATGACGACAAATTAAAATGTTAACGAATTCTACGTTCTCATCCTTATCCCTGCTTTACATCAGAAGAGAAATCTACAGTTGTACTACAATGAAGGCTGAGAATTTTACAGACTAAGGGGTCTCGGCTTCTTCTCCACATGGAGAATAGACTTGAGTACATGGCACATAATAAAACTACTACATAGGAAAGTAATGTATAGATTTTCTTAGATGTAACATTAATTTGTAGCATTTGTGTGTGTATGTCTATCTAAACATTACCATGAGGCGAAACTGGTGAAAGTTTTCCCGCAATGTTTTTCACTAGCTTTTTTCATGCCATTTTCAGGTCTAAGTACTGAAATGGAATTTATTTTCCCAGTTTGGCTTGCATAATACATTTGTAGCAAAAATCATTGTATTTTCAGAATGTGGTACATATGAGATTTCATGTGAAAATACCATACTTGAGGTGTGTTATTTGTGCTTCTCTGCAACTCCCCATCTTCTTGGCATATGCCAAAATTGCAATATAGACACATCATGCTGGGCACAGTATAAACACATAGTAAGCAATGTGAAGACCACAGTTGGTTGGTAAAGACACCATTTTTGCTTTTGTTTGAAATTGGATAAAGTTCTCCTCTCTAATCAACATGGAGTGGGGAGGGAATCAGTTGTGCATGTTCTGGAGGCAGAACTCAGTTGACATCAATAGGAGTTTGATGCCTGTGACAATTACATAGCCAGCAAGTGAGATCTGCAGCCTGGGCGGGCATGAATTTTGACCTGGGTTTAGTAGCTATTATTATAAAGAGCAGATTTGAGAACAATAGTTTCATTACATCAGATGAATGTCTCTTTGATGGAGTCTTATTGTTTTAACACATTCTGTGTTCTTTCAAATCTAGATTCTTGAAGAAAACATGAAATTAGAGTGCAAGTGCCATGGAGTTTCAGGATCTTGTACTACTAAGACATGCTGGACAACCCTTCCTAAATTCCGGGAGCTGGGCTACATCCTTAAGGACAAATACAATGAAGCAGTTCAGGTTGAACCGGTGAGGGCAAGTCGCAACAAGCGTCCAACCTTCCTTAAAATAAAGAAGCCACTGTCCTACCGCAAACCCATGGATACAGATTTAGTGTACATAGAAAAATCTCCAAATTACTGTGAAGAAGACCCTGTCACTGGCAGTGTGGGAACACAGGGCAGAATGTGCAACAAAACAGCCCAGCAGACCAATGGCTGTGATCTGATGTGTTGTGGTCGAGGTTACAATACACACCAGTACTCACGAGTGTGGCAGTGCAACTGTAAATTTCATTGGTGCTGCTACGTAAAGTGTAATACGTGCAGTGAAAGAACAGAAGTGTACACCTGTAAATGAAAGTGTGGCTGGGGAAGGTGACTCTAGATCCCTAGGAATGAATACATTTGCACATGAGCTCAACACAACTACTCAAGACTGTAGCAAAGACCTGCTTTCTTCCAAAAGAAAAGCTAATGAACGGATCTGTCTTTTCCTCTCATATTTCAGTACTTATGTGGATACACATTAAAGACTTGTATAAATTATCCAAAAAAACAAAACAAAACAAAAAACCAAGCCACTTGACACACAAAACAGAGGAAAAAAATCATCTAAGCTAATCTGCACCTCCAAAGCTTAATGCAATGACTGCCTTATGAAAAGAACACCCAGTCAAGTGAAAAAAATCTGAGAGCTTGGCAACTAACTCTTTTGGTTTGGAAAAAGATGGTTAAATACACACGCTACTGTGCATAAGGGATGGGTTGGGTGGGGGAAACAAAACAAAACTTTAACATGGTCTTTGCACAGGATGGGGTGACAATGCTCCAGTGTGAATTTCTACTTAAGTGTGGATTATGCAGATTTAGGTTTCTACACTTTTGAAAAGCTTCTGCTGGTCTTGCCTGTCTTTCCATTTCACACAATTTGCTACAGCAAGTAGAACTGTTGAAGTTTTCCATAGACACTGGTTTATCTGCCTTTATTTTTTTGTGCTGCAGATTTTAGCACAGGGATTTGGGACATCTGGGCATAATAATAGCAATATTTAACAATTTATTCAGATAAAACTAATATTAATTTATTTAAATAAAAAAGAACTCTACAACATTTTTGGAACTATTCTGCAATTAAAGTAGATAGCTTGCTTTCTTTGTGGAATAATTATTTTGTAGATACGGCAAGGAAAAAACTGAAGCTGTATATATTATTCTTTACTCGGATATTTCTACTAGTTGGATTTGCAGGATATTTTCTGCAGTACTAGATGTTTAAGTACAAAAGCAGGCATCTTTTATAATTTTTTTCTGTTTGCTGCTAGTTGTCTGGAAAAATCAAACTGGTAGTGAGTATAATCTCTTTACAATACACTTTTTTTTTCCAATTAAAGAGGAGCGTTATGAAAATCCAGTTTGGAATACATCAAAAATAAATATGAAACTCCAGACAAACTTCCACCTTTTGGAAAATGAACCATAGGATAAGAGTATATTTTGTAAGAGACTATTTTTATATGAATATTTTATTTATACTATGTCTGCTTGTATAATTCTATAACCTGTACTTTTCCCTCAAAACAGGCATACTATTTGTAATTCTTAGGCTATTTAACAGATAAAGGCTGATTAGTTTGTGGACACAAGAGCGGCAAGCAGGATACATTTAGCTGCAATTGGTAGATGTGTCAAAATGCAGAATGAACTTTCTCTCCGGATGTGTGTACAAACTGGCTCTCTTCCTGCAGTTCAATTTGCAGAATATGCAAAACAAGAACAGGGTATGTAGCATCAGTTTTGTCACATGGCTTGAATTCATGATTGGTATTAACTGGATGCTCATTTATCCCATTCAGAAAAAAAATCTGAATTAGCTTCCCACATGCGTCAGTCATTAAACTGTGGTGTTATGACTAGCAAATGTGCTGTGTGTGCTGTCAGTTAAACCTCTATATTGTGTTACTGTCAAATTTGATTTTATCAGTGGAAGACTGTAGACTATGACTGTAAAAACTAGCATGACACACATCGCCTGATTCTCATAGATAAGATACAAAGCTTACAGTTTTTGCCCAACTGGTTTTGGCATTTGCCTTACTCTTTCCCTCCAAAAAGTTCCGAGTTAAAAAACTCAAACCACATTTAGGCAAACATTAAACAATCTATTTCTCCACAGTCCCATTAAGTCCTTCTTGTACTTTCTTTTGATATTTCCTTTCTCATCTGGGAAACTAGAAGTGATGTGGGTGAGTAAATAAATATTCCCACTCCCGGCTGGAATCTTTTTGCTTGCTTCTCCTGCCTGAATCATTTAGAGCCTCACACGCAGTTCTAATTTCAATGGTGGTTTTGCGTGAGTAAGGAATACAGGATTGGGCTCTTATTGATATCACATGTTCCACTGTTTGGGACATATGACAAACACTTCCATAGTTGAGAAATGTGAGATCACTCAGTCAAAAAGGTCGAGACAACTGACAACAAGGGAAACAAACAAGTTATCTAGGAGGCTGTGCTCTCCAATGACTCCCATTGATATTAATAAGTATTAGAACAAATAGACAATAAGCAAATTAGTAAAAGGTCTGATTCATTGATTTTTGTAGGTGTTCTGCCTGTACTTGGACTGCAAGATTGGGACCACATGAGAAAGGAAATGATGGAAGTAGTATAAGATAATTTTACAGGATTTGGGTAAAATAATGTATTTTCAGAATTGCCCTGAATGCAGCATATTGTTTACATACATACACACACACACACACACACAAAATACCTGCTCCTTGCCATGTACAATTAAGGATATAGTGTTTCTTTGCAGATTTGCCATTTACCACGTTACAGCAACTCAGACACCAATGTATGAGATATCAAAGTAGAAGTTGGATAAGATTAACACAGTTTACTTTCAACCTTGTGACTTGTCAATGTGAAACAATTTAAAAGTAGTATTTTTTTTATAATGGAGCTTATATTTTTTTCAGGATTCTAAATTTTGTGTATTAAAGATTGAAAATGGGACCTAAAATTCAAGAATATACATACAATATGGAGATTAATTACAATTATACAACATGGTTTAATAATGCAGATCTCTGATAAAGTTAATCATGGGGCAATTTTTTTTTACAGTATGCATTGGCTTTCACTAAGTAGATACACAACACAGTCAACAGTTTGCTGTTCTTCACTGATTACAGTAATCTAACAAAGTGTTATTTTTGCAGTATGTTTTTACCATAGGAAAGCATTCTGTAAAACTGCTGCTTTCTGTATATTTCGATACATTGGTGATGCACAGTGTACAACTAGCACATTAACTCGTAAAAGACAGATTTCTTTAAAGAATTTTAATCACAATAATAAAGAACTGGATGGATATACAAAGAAAATCTATTTATTTTATTGCAGAACTAGAAAAGATTGAGTAGCTTACCAATTCTTAAATGTTTTGCAGTGGAAATAGTCTCATTTGGGAAATCAGTTTAACATTTACATAAAAAACAACCCTGGACCTGACATTGTCCCTATATTTGCAGTGTTTCTGGTGGTCCAAATATTAGGAAAGGTGTCTTTTATCTGTTTTGAAATTGAATTTCAAGTTAGGAATACTGCATTTGACAAGTAGCCCTAAAAGTTCAGAAATGAGGAAAATGTAGAGCTGCAGTCTACTAGAAAGTGTCTGAAAGTTTGGCTACATCTTACAAGATAAGCGAAAGTTGGCCCATCTGAGTCAGCCATGAGTCTGGAGTTAATTAGCCATTCTCTAAATTTGACTGAATGGCATGAAGAATAAATAGGAGAAAGAAAGATTTACGATTTTGTAGATATTTTTTCCCCAAACAGTTTGTTCTTTGTCCTCAGGGAATAGAAGAGCTCTGTTTGTACTTGGTAAAGAACCACACAATGGGAATGAAATGCATACAACTGGAGAGGAATACAGCCTTCAATAGAAATTTCATCTTTTCATTTCTACTAAATGAGTGGAGTGCTGGATTGATGTTCACGTAAATAACCTGGTTAATGTTCAGAAAGCAAACACGTTCAATATTGTAAAAACAGGAAGAAAGTTAAGAAAAACATTTGAACAAGCATAATTATGAGTTTGGAAATTTTAAAAACCTTATTTGACTTATACTCTTTTTTTTTCCACATTGGAATTCCATTTTGTAAAACTGAAAATAAATTCCAAGTGGGAGTCTAAAGAAAATTAAAAAGGATTTTCATTGATCTATTTCACTTCATGGCCCTAATTTTTTTTTTAAGTTGACAACTATCTTGATCACAGTTAGCTTGCATACTTGGAAAAGTGCTTGCATAAAACAAGAATCCATCAATGACCTAAAGTTTTCTTTGCCATGTTTGCACAAAACTAATGGAGACGTATCTTTCAACAGTGATAATTAAACTGAAAACCTCCTTAAAATGTAAACTTAATTGGCTCATTTTGTAAATGGCAAGGTTATTCTGAGGTTGCACAGTTACTTGAGAAAAGGAAAGATACATATGAACCATCTCACGAGTGCAGGATTTAATAGTATATTTCAGAGACTATAAAACTGTTTAAGCAAAACTCAGTTTTAAAAGCCCATTTGTATAGTTAAATTTAGAAATGGGCCAGGCTTCAGTTGCATTATACACACACAAATGAAAATTCAGTATAAATACTTCAGATAACATTTGTACATTTAAAAAATAGACATTTGGAAAGACCGCAATGGACACCCAAGTTGGTATGCTGACACAGCAGCACACACGCACCTATATTCCAGATCAGGTTAGTCCCCAAAATCTATTGTTGCTAGGACTATTCTGCAGAATGTATGCATATGAACCTGCCAGAATTGGGGTAGCAAGTTCTGCCATGTGCTTCTGCTGCCAATAACAAAGTTTTCCAGCATATGCACTTACATACAGTGCAAACGACAGTATTTAACATAGTGGGTTTTATCACGCATCATGACTTCTCGGCAGTGGCCTATAGAATTCTCCTAAATTCTAAAACACTCAACTGAGTAATGTTGTGTGCAACTTTCAGAATATGATGCCTCCCAACTGGTTAACAAGGGATGTTTTCCTCCAGGAAAACATTAATTCAGAGTGTGTGGGAGTTCTCCTTAAAGGCATATTTTCTAACACTGATCAAAAATTCAGAGAATTCTAACTCTGGGAACAAATGTTAATGATATATTGTAAGTTAATCAATGAAGGGGTACAACTGGATTTAAGATACTCCTTGTGTTTGAAGTAAAGGTGCCAGAACCACTCAGCTTTGCAATTCTCTCACTCTTACCATTCCAGATACATTTTTAAACCATTCAGACTACTTCCGATCATGTTTTTGGAGTTATGTGAAAGCAC